ATTTGATCACTCCTGTATGTCTCTCTATCCAATTTATAATTTTGTCTATTTTCAAAATTAAGTGTTATATATAAATGAATAAAGTCTGTCCTAATTGTGCTTTGACAATTATATTTTTCTGCTGGGTGCAATCATAATTCATTTATTTCATTGTTGTACTTTTCCCCCCTTACATATGGTAAAGTTACGTGTGTATCCCTTTTGATGGTAATGGAAATTTTAGTAGCTAATATTTTATTATAAATAAATCTTTGAATATACTGGTAGAAAGTAGAATCAATTTTAACCTGGGGTAACATTTTGGGAAGCAGGGAAGTGCCTCCTCTCCTTTGATACGTTCCTAAGAGTTTTTTATGTGTATTAACTAGTTTAAACACCCACAAGAGACTTCTAATGATGTATATCATTACAGGAGCATTTTCATTTATTCTACTCAGTGGGTGTAAAAATCATTTCATGTCAATTACTTCTTGACATTTATTTTGCTATTAATGAAGACAAAGTTTCTTCTTATCTGTTTGTGGACTCTTTATGTTTCCTTATGTGGAATTTTCCTCGCTGGATTTCTTTTGAGCTATCTCCCATTTCTTATTAATTGAATCAGTTCCTTATAGAATTGACATATTAACTTTTGTCAGTTGTCAGCCCTGCTACTTTCTTAAATATGTGGCCTGTTTCGGGTTGTTTGTTTGTTTGATTGTTTGTTTGTTTTTCCAGTCCTTTATAGTGTTTTTGGATACACACAGGTTTTTAATTTTCAGATAATTTTACTTTTCATAACATTCCTTAAGAGATGGTGCTCCAGCTATCTTGTTTTGAAATTATCTCAATCTAAAGAATTTTTACTGTTTCCTTGAAGATTTGAAGCCTGGTTGCAACTTGTAATTTGTTTTTACCTTTGACCTGAGACAGAGATTCAAATTCATTTTTGCATTGCAGATTATGTTATTGAACAATCCATTCACTACAATTCCATTTCTACAATAAAGAAAAGACATGTATGTTTTTGTCTTTATGTAAGCCTTCTCTTCTTATTAATAGCACTTTTGTTTCTATCCTTGAACTCAGATCGCAAGTCTTAAATATTTTAACATAGAAGTAAGCTAAAAATATCCTTGTCATTACAAGCAAGTCACAGTATCATTTAGTTCGAACTACAAAGGTTTCCCTTACCAACTGCTTTCCTGATAATATTCAATTCACTAAAAAAATCTTGATAGCAAAGAGAGATGACTTCAACCTATCATATATAATTTCAAAAAAATATACGGACTTGAAGCTAATACTTTGAAATTTTGAAAGGTTGTAAATAAAAATGGCTGTTATATACTCAGTTCATTTTTACTAGAAACACTGTCTTAGTAAATGCTAAATATAAAGATGCAGAAGCAATATCAACATTAAATGAGCCCACTGTAAAATGAACCATAAAATTGCTTTCCTATGAATTGAGGAAATGTTTACAAGTCAGGTTGACAGTTTCCCATTTTAAAAAAATCCATACAATTTGTGTTTAATGCTAGTGATGACACTCTATAACATGGGTCATCACTTATGTTGCTTCCACCATGTGCTTCTGTTTGTATTTCTCGCCGGCCCTAACACTCCTGAAATTTGACCTTCAGAAAGTGCTGTCCTGTTAATCGCAACTGCTTGACTATTCTAAGATGTGCATACATTTCACGTGTTCTTCTTCTCTTTATACACCTGTTGTTTGACTGAAAATCAAGGGATGGTGGTGAGATTGATGCTCACATGGTCCATTAAACTAATTGTTTCCACATTTCTTGGATTTTCATCATTTGTCTTTCTTACAATGAGGAGGATCCAAAAATTAACAAGCTTTTAAGACCCAAGTTCCCAGTATCAAAGTTGAATGTAGAACATTTTCTTTTTAAAATATGTCAATTAACTTAAGTGACCCTGTGACTGTGTTCATGAATTACCAGGCCCATTGACTCCTTTACCCATGGTCTTTGGTTCTGTCTAAGATGTTTTCATGAGTTGGCCTCTTGTCCTTCACCACAGTCAGCAATTATAGCAAAGATAAATTCTCAAATCAAATATCCTTTGTCAAATTATATATATTCACTGGTATGCTCCCACCTTTCATCCTGCACCTATTCAGCCTTTGTGCCTATGCATGCATCAATGCATACATCACCATTATTGCAAGATTGTGAATATAACATTACTAACCCCTGTTTCTTTTAATTCTTGCCTTCCTTCCAGTAGCTTTCCTTTTCTCCATGATAAGCTAAGCATTTAGAATTTGCATTATAGGGTACATTTGCTATATAATAGCTTATACTTATATAAGTACTATTCTCTAGAAAAGCAAACCTGAACAAAAAGAGAAATTTATATAAAGAACATGATGTAGACTATTGTAGAAATGAGAAGTCCTGTCTGATTCAAGTGCCTGGGTCAAATTATAAACTCAAGGATTCTCCTGACTCACACAGCTTCATAGACTGACAAATAAGAAACAGGAAGATAAAGCAAGAAGCC